TGAATAGAAGAATTCTTACGATTCTCCATATAGACCATAAATTGATAAATTTGATTTGATTGAAGTGAACCAGCAAGAACTGTTAGAGATGAATTAGGTGATGAAGTTAAATTTCCGAATACTAATCCCGTTCCATTTCCTTTTCGAAAAATAATAAAAATAATTGTTTTAATAAAGATCAAAGTTAGAATAAGATTGAATTTTTATTATTAATTTTACCTGATCGATTTGACAAACATGATGGATTATAAGGATCAATTCTTGAATCATCAATTGATAATAATATTCCTTGTACATTTGGAAAATTATATAAATCATAAATTCGACAATAATAAGCATATTTCCATTTCTATTGTTTAAAAATAAGATAACAATTATTTGAATATTCACCTACATATATTACTTACAGTTGCATCAAATGTGTCTTCGTCAGGATCAACCGAAAATGTTCCAGGATCAAGTAAAAGATCCTGTTGATTACCTCGTGTTATCATAGATGTTCCTAATTGAACAAGATTTGCTGTTATACCTGTTGCAGTTATTCTCACATAAACTGACGATGATGCTTTTAAATTCGGTGAATCAATCATTGTTACAGTTGATGTTAGTTGATAAACACCATAAGCAAGAGTTCTTGATGGAATACAAAGTTCACTAAATGTTGTCATAACATTTTCATCTAATACAATTTCAAATGAACAACTAGTTGAAGAACAATTCTTTATTGTCCATTTTTTAGTTGTCGAAAGTGAACCATTACAATGAAATTGAATCATTGAACTAATAAAAAAATCTTGACTACGTCGATACGATATTGGCGATGATAGAGATGATTGTCCAGGAATTAATATAACCGTCGGTGAATAACAAGCTAGTTTAGAAAAAAAAGTCGATAAATTATTTTTTATATTATTCATATTATTACTTTCATTGATATACGGTCCTTGAGAAGTTGTGATGGAAGCCGTGCTAATTGAGGTACTGCTGCTGCTCGAAGTAGTAGTAGTTGTGGTGGTGGTCGGTATTGCTAAAATATAAAACAATTGTACTTTATTCAGTCAAATTAGAGAGAATTTATACTGAAAACATTAATATGAGATCAAATAATTCAAGCAACATTTCATTTGATTTTTATCAACTTTTCAAATGATAGTCGCAAAAAAAACTAATTATCAACTACAACTTCATAATGTTTCATTTTATGCAAATAACTTACTGCAGCTGCTAGCTTGAAAAGAGAATTGTTGCACTCGACTATTATTTCGATCAGTAACATATATATTTCCATAACTATCAAAAGCCATACTTTGTGGGAATGATAACTGCGACGCAGATGAACCACCTCCGGAACATCCTACGATACATCGAAAACCAGTAGAACTTGAAGCAACAATACGATGATTGTAACTATCGACAATAAATAAATAACCATTAGCATCAAGAACAATTCCAGTTGGATAGTTAAGTATAAAATTTGTCGAAGATCCAGCACCAAAGATTGTAACTCCATTTAATAGACCAGTTTGAACGAATTGGATACGATTGTTAGCACAGTCTGCAATATATAGGTTTAAATTACTATCAACATAGATTCCTTGAGGAGAATTAAGCATAGTTGATAGTGATCCAGCAGAACCGTTACCGGCTACAATCGTCGGAGTGGTTGTACCGTTATTAAGTAAAAGTTTAACAATTTGATGGAGATTTTTAAGTGAACAATAAAGATTATTATTAATATCAATAAATAAACCATAACAACTTCCATTAATATTCATAACAGTAACCCAATTTGAAGTATTAAATATATATTTATCGACTCGACCATAGGAATAACCATTATCAATATAAATATCACCATTAATAGACATAAAAAGACTATATGGATTACTCAAATTACTATAACTATTACTTGTTGATGTAGTACTCCCTTGAGGCCATGATAAAATACTGTTACTAACTCGATTAGGTACATACACAGTATTAATTCCATTAATAAAAATACCATAAGGTAATGTACCAATTGTACTACTTGATGCAAAAGTTGATGCATTAGAATACCATAAAGCATTAGAACAAAATGTTGGTTGATTATAAGAGATACCTAAGAGAAAATAAATTAAGGTCATTGAGAACAGTAATTGAAAGATAACTTACTACATGAGTTTGATGCTAATAGAAATTTTTGCACGCGATTATTGTATTTATCACCAACAAATATATTTCCATAACTATCAAATCTTATAGTTGCTGGATAGTACAATTGACTTGATGAAGAACCTGCAGTATTTGTACATCCAAATAAACATCTAAAACCATAGGGTCCTGATCCAACTATTCGATGATTAAAACAATCCGCAATAAAAAGATATCCATTACCATCTAGTGTAACACCATTTGGATAATAAAGTGTAATAGTTCCTGGTACACTATTTCCTGCTAAAGTTACTCCAGTTAATTGTCCAACGGGAAACATTTGTATCCTTTCATTAAGAGAATCTGCAACATATAAATTAAATTTAGCATCGACAAAAATTCCAACAGGGTAATCGAGCATAGTTGCTGTTGATCCAGCTGTACCTGTGCCAGCAACAATAGTTGATGTAAGTACATTATCATTCAACCATTTCTTAACAACTTGATGGGCATTGAATGCTGAGCAATAAAGATTATTATTAATATCAACAAAAATACCAAAACATTCACCAGGAACTGACATTGCAGAAGTACTTATATTTGAGTTTAATGAGAATTTGTCAACTCGACCATTATTTGCACCATTATCAACATATATATCACCTATGGGAGTAGCGAAAAGATCATATGGTGAACTGAGACTACCAGAAAGAATTTTATCTGGATTAATACTTCCTTCGTACCATACTACAACCTTATTAGTTTGTGGATTAGCTACATAAACAGTATTATCAAGACCAACAAAAACACCAAATACGTAAGTTCCAACCGTACTACTATTAGCAAATGTAATTGCATTTATATACCATGTTGTAGATGGACATAAGTTTGGTTGATTGATAGTTGCATCTAAGAAAAAGTGAAAATTGATTAGATATCTCGTTCACTTCTGTTAGAAAATATTGTCAAATCATTCTTATTTAAAAGAATCAATCCAATTTCAATGAAGAAGAAGAATATTCTGCTGTTTTCAGCTATCTTGTGGTATGAAGTACTATCCGAAGACAGTTTCATCGGTCCGATATTTTTCCTACAGCTAATACTAGTTTTACCTCTACATAGAACGTCGACCTGTCTCAGATTTTTTTCAGTCAATCACTGAAGTAAAGCAGCTCAACTTCCAACGACTTACAAGGCAAATCCAGATCTCGAGTTCTGTAGTTTAGTTAAATTCTATAGTTCGAATTTGATGAAATCCACCTATCTATATTTATGAAACAAATAATAAAAATGTGATCAGTAATTGTTCAGAGGTATTATGTAACACTTTGTTTTGCGTTGTATTCGGTCTTAAAATCAGTTAAATTGATAAGGATTACTTTCTCAGTCAAAAATCTAAGATGTTCTCGTACATAAAAGAGTCAGAACCGGCTCGAGGAAATCAGGTAGTTTGAGTATGATAGATTGACGATTTCGAAGAAATGTGCAGTGAGAGAAGTTTCAATCTACGCATATATAGCGAGGTGCCAGCTCACTTACTCAAACGGATAGTATGACTTTAAAATTCGATATTGTACACACTTTTTAATCTTTATTCGTCGAATTACTATTCATATCATTGATACTACAGCCATCTAAACAGCATAGCACGATCTATTTGTTAAAATGAAATTTTGAAAAAGCAATGAAAAGATAAAATATTAGAATATTTTCTCTCGTTTGTTCGATAATGAGAAAAGAAGATTATATTGTACTTACTATAAGAAGTACTTGTTATAAGAAACTTTTGCACTCGACTGTTGCCTTGATCAGTAATAAATATATTTCCATAACTATCAAAACTAAAAGTCGACGGACTACTTAATTGATTGGATGCTGAACCACTTGTAGATGAACATGCAATTATGCATCGAAAGCCATTAGGTCCTGAACCAATAATACGATTATTGCTGCTGTCTACAATAAAAAGATATCCATCATTATCAAGTGCAACATCGCTAGGACAATCAAGTGAGATAGTTCCAATAGCTGTACTTCCTGCTACTGTAGTTGCTGTTACTTGTCCAGATAAAAATAATTGCACCCGATCGTTTCCACAATCAGCAACATATAAATTGAGATTTGTATCAACAAAAATTCCACGAGGTTCATTAAGTGAATTCGCAGTTGATCCAGAACATTCTGTACCAGCAGCAACGATCCACATACTTGAATTGCCATTCAATGATTTTATAGCAACTTGATTTTGAGTATACAATGAACAGTAAAGAGTATTATTAACATCGATAAAGAGATCATAGCATGCACCTTGAACTTGCATTACTGAACTACTTATATTTCCGTATGATGCCCACTTATCGACTCTATTATTTGTATATCCATTATCGACGTAAATATCGCCAGTGCTTGTAGCAAAGATACTATATGGAGAAGTAACACCACTGGTAATATTTCTTGTAGGTATATTACTTCCTGATAACCATTCTCGAATTTGATTGCTTGCTTTATTGGCTACATAAACCGTATTGTTAGTATCTACGAAAATTCCATATGGACTTGTGCCAACTGTGCTACTATTCGCAAAAGTAATTGCAATACTATCCCAAGTAGCATATGCGCTAAATTTTGGTTGATTGAATGATATAACTAAAATAATATTAATTTTATTTTTATTCTATTATGTACAAATCATATAATTGTTGAGGGTGTGTATGTAGTGGAATAATGAACAGTGATACCCACACTCACAGTTTAAAAATATTCATGTTCTGTCGATGCTAAAATAGTTCGTGATGAGATTTAATGTACTACGTAATAAAGCCTATT